ATTCACCAGAGCCAGAGCGGGAAGCAGAACAGGCAGACTGACGAAATACACTGTTGAGGGGAGCAGCGGGCGGCAGGAGAGGTCTGCGCGCCAAATGGGACCCTCACCTGTGGCCAGGGATCGAACCAGCGCTGCAGAGGCTGCAGGCAGCTTTGCAGCCCAGCACTCAACCACTGCACCACTGGGGAGGCCCCTATATCAAAATATTTTAACATAAAAGGATAGAGATATTCAAGTTGGCAGATAAGATGTATATCATCTCAACCAAAAGTTCAGGAAAGTCTCACTGAGAAATGGCATTTGGACTGAGGTTGGAGCAAATTAATGTATGGCATTAAAAAAAAAAAAAACCTTAAGCTTTTAAATGATCTCTTATGAGCTTCACTGTCAATGCAACTTATCTGAATGTTATTGAAGGTGATTCTTTACTTCTAATGTAAATTCTCTCTCACAAAGCACATATTGTAAAATTATTCCCCATTTTCCTATATTATGTAAGAAAAACTTTAAATCTGTGACACAAGGGACAGATCTTTATTAAGTCTTTACAATTGTCAATTCTCTATGAAAACAGTTACCTGGTGAGAAAAAAAAAATGCAATCTTAGTCCTTAGTCTTTTACTGTAATGCACTGTGGTATATAGCAGAAAACAGAAAAGTAAGAAATAAAAGACCTGGGTTCTAGTTCTGTGATTTATACATTACCTATTAACCTCTGCTTGGAGATTTAACCTCATTTAGAAAATTAAGACAATGACTTCTTCAACATTTCCAAAAAACATTTCCAGAGACTTAGGCTGGAGATACTATTGGGGGGAAAAAAGACCTCGTGAACAGATGCAGTAAGAAACATCATTTATCACATGGACTTTAATTAAAAAGCCCTAGGCTGGTTAAAGAATTGTAAAAAATACTGAGTATACTTTGTTTAACTCAAAGTTTCCTAAACATACTGGGACAGATTTGGGAAAAGCAGAAATAAGGCAGAAATGCTAGTGTTTCCACCATTTTAGAAATTGTATGATCTTTTTAAGTTCATCCCATTCTATCAGTAAGGATGGACTGTATTATACTGAAGTTAAAAATCACTCCAAGATTTCAGAGGCTTAAGATAGAAAAGTTATTTCTTATTCATGTGTCACATCCATTGAGGCTGGCTCCAGCCTCTGATCTATGTTTTCATTGCAGTTCCCAGTGGGCAGAGAAGCCACAATCTGGAGCCTTACCGATTGCTGAGGCATTAAGAAAGAGCCTGGGGAAGTAAGCGAACGTGTTGCCTAACCTTGCAACGTGTTCCAAGAAATGCATCGCTAGGTGACATTGTCATCGTGCAAACATCATAAAGTATATGTCCACTCACCTACATGGTAGAGACTACCAACACCTCGCTCACACATAGGGACCAGCTTTCTATGTACCATCCATTATTGATACGATATAATGACTGATATGTCATTATACAGTGCATGACGGTGTAGCTAACGTGCTTAGGAAGAGTACAGGTATTTGGTAAAAGCACTAATGACTGCATAGTTACCTCCTGAAATGATTTCACAATTAAACTATCTAATGAATGACAGCTTTTAAGTTGCTGAGTGTTGGATTTTGTTACATTCCAATCCAAAATATTAGGCTTTATTCTGGCAGACAATACTATCCCTTGTGGATAAATTTTATCCTTTTCAGATTTGCCTTCAAAATATTTTAAGGCAGCTTTAGAGTAGGGTTAGTTTAGCCTTACTTTTAAGATGTGACTCTTCCATGACGTCTTCTGATTGGTCTGTTTAGTCAGGACGACTTCTGTACTCTCCCAGTGGGAATTTCAAAAATGACCTCTTCTAGTTATTTAGCACCCTGCTTCCCAGAAATGATACTTTCCTCAGAACTTATTCTTGTCTTGCCTCTTTGGGTTTTTCTCTATGCATACAAAGGTTGGCATGAAGGGAGAGATTCTAGAGGACACCTTTTGTTTTGGGGGCCCTTTCTCTATATGACTCCTTCCCTCTTCACTGAGGGAGGCAGCCAGGCTGTATCTGGATTTCCCCTCAATGTGTTACAGTCTAGAAATATTCTCTGGTCAGAGGACCTGGGTAAGCATAGGTCTCATGGTAAGTTTGTACAACTGTTGGGCTCAAACTGTAGTTTTCTTCTGTTTGCTTTCTCTCAGGGATCGCAGTACTGTGCTATCTGGTGTTCAAAGTATGAAAATAGTTATTTCGTATATTTTGTCCAGTTTCCTAGTGGTTTATAGCAGGGGGTTAATTTAGAACCCCATTACTCCCTTAAGGCTGAAATGTTGTGTCTCTTAAATCTAAATTTAGCTCTTGTTTTATAAACTCTTTGTTTTTCAGCATGGTAGAACACGATGTCTTAAAGGTCAACAAAATGGATTTCTTATTTTTTCCTTTTCCTTTATGGAAAGCTATAAACATGATAAACTCCAATACTATACTTCCATTTTCCTGAAATACAACTCTTTTTTTTTTTTTGGTTTACATCATTGTATTTGTTTTAGGGGTTATATGTCAAACCTCTACAAATACAGGTTTTCACACCAGGTCCACCACCAAAGTTCCAATAATCCTCCGCTGTGCTCCATTGAGATCCTCCCTCTTCCTCTCCCACCTAGTGAAATATAACTTTTAGAGCCAATCAGAAAAGTATATACCAATTTAGGTGATTGTCACTATGTGTAAGCAAAGATACCACCTCTAGGTCAACCAACTTATTTATCTCTGATGCATTAACACTTAATAAAAATATTCTGGATATCATACATATTTATTTTGCAGTCATGTACCTATTAAAATATATTATCAAGAAAGTATAAGGAACTTAATCTAGAAAGACAGTAATTTTTTATTATATATGATAGTTCTTGGTAAGTGGGTGGCTTGAGCTCTTACACTGGAATATCAGGCATTTCCTTGTATTAATTATAACAGTAATAACCTGAGAAGTTATTATGAAAAGTCTAAAATATATACTTGAGTTTGTTGTATGCAATATCCTAGTGCCAAGATGACTCTCTGGCTCTTTATAAGTGGCCTAAATAGATATTAATTGAATGCCTGGATGAATGAAATATAAGATGAGCTGTTGTGATATAGCAAAGAACCTTTCTTGGAGGTGAGACATTACTCTCCTTCCTTGAAGTGCTGAGTTCTGAGAAAGTGGGCAAGACTGTGAAGGAATGGTTTTAACAGCTGGGCTTCCCACAAGAATGATGGAAGTAATAATTATAAGAATGATGTAATAACACATATAATAACAATGATAATAATGAACAATAACAGTTATTCATTGTATCTTTATGCAGCAAACTTTTATGCACTTTTTATGTGTATTTCATTGATTGTTTACTGTGAGAGATCAGTATAAGTAAGATAATATGGAGATGATAAGTAACTTGAGCATGGTGATGCAGCTAGTTAGTGGCAGAACCAGACTGTAAATCTACAGACTGGCTCCAGGTCATACAGTTTTAACCACAGGCCTATATTGACTTTCTGTACATGAGACCAAACAGAGAGGAACCCACCAACACTGAAAGTAAGGAACATCCTTCTGGGGGTTAATTCATAGGACTAACAACAAATGGGATCACATGAAGAAGTGTGAAAGTCCCCCTCAGGAAGATGTCTCTCAAGTTAACATACTTGACAGAATCTGATGGAATGTGTTAACATATCCCTTAAAAAGTGCAGAAAAATTCTGAAAATACTGGTCTGAAAAAATACCAGTATCAGGAGATACTGGTCAACCAGAAAAAAACATGAAGAGAGGATCCCCTGGTCAAAACATCAAAAGCTTTTCTCAGTGGTAGACATCACTTCCTGTTGTGGATGTGTATGCCTCAGACCTTCCTGGGTAACCTTGTTAAAAATAAAATCTTATAATTCTGCAGTACTAATTGCAGTATAATTCTGCAGTTCTCAGTACAATTCTTATCAGTGTAGTTGCTTCTATACAGAGAAGATACTGGACAGGGAAGATAAGCATATATCTCAAAAGAAATTAAATTTTTGGTATCATGGTTTAGACACCTAAAGGTTTCAAAAGGTTATTTTTAATCTTCACCATACAAAACTATGAAGTCCAGTAAATTGACAAAATGGAATATCTAGATCATCTTGGCAAATTAGAAATTCTGCCTTGGAAAACTACCCTTGTTCGCCAGGAGTTACAACTAGCTTAAACTGCATATTATTCTTTAAGCTTCTACTCTCCCTACTGTTGTGGCCAAAGATAGATGGCTTATTATTTAATAATTACATAATATGCTTAGTAAAGTCATATAATTTTGAAGATTTGAGTGAATTTGAGAAACATAACATAAGGCTAAGATTTACTTAGAGCCAGACAACATCTTTAAGAACTTTATAATCTTTGTCTTATGGAAGCCCTGTGATAGAGCAGACCCTCCCCAAAAGAGAAAATTGAGGCTGAATTAGGTTTAATACTTTGGCTAAGGTCACAGAGCTATTTAATAGATCTGAATTCTGGTTACCCTGAAAAGCCTATGTAGCCCCCCAACACTGCCATGTCTTTTTCCAACATAGCGTCCTTTAAGAATACAGATCTAGACTATAACCAAGACATTCATTTTCTTTTGTTTTCTAATCTTAATTTTTGACCTTGGGCATATGCCTGATACTATCTTTGTCTAATGCCACCAGCTTTGCAAACGGAAGAAAAGAGTATGTCCTACCCTCTGTTATTCAAACTGTTGAAACTAACAATTCTACTTCCCTAGCTTACAGTCAGTTATCATCAGTTTGAGTTCCATTCACCATTGGAAGTTCAATATAGTCAGTTCAAGAGTTCCACTCAATATTGGAAGTATTCTATTTATTTCTCCGCACACGTGTTGTGATAAGTGATAAATACTTTCCTGTTTTCTTGTGATTTAAGTTGTGGAGAATAAAAGGGCTAAAGTTCCTAGGCTTAAAGTAGAATTTACCAGAAATGAGGATATGTGTAATAATTTCCAAATTGTATTTACGGATACCATTTTATTCTATTGATTGGAAGCTGTACTCAGCAAAGGGAATCATACAAAGGAGATAAGAGAGAATGAGAAATTGAAACAAAGCATTGATGGAAGTTTCCTAACAGCAAAAAATGAGAAGGCTGAGCATCCCAGGGGAAGTGGGGGTGGACCTGATGCCTGAAACAGTGAGAGCTGTGATGGAGTCAACTGCAGCGAATCCCGTAATTACTAAATTAGACTGTTCCATTTCTGGATAATGCATGCTGCATTTTGATCTTGATTTAAAATCCAATTAGTTCCGGATCATCATTTCTGTTAGTTCTAGCTTCTCTCTGGTGGCTTTGAGAACAGAGCAATAGATTAGTATTTTTGTGTTTGTTCTTTGCAGGCTGTCTTTGAAGACATGGCTTTTTAAATCTATGGCAACAGGTGTCCTCCCTCCCACTCTTACATATTTTACTGATTACTCTTCTTGGTTTATCCTCAAATTCTCTCAAGTCATTGTGGCCAATGAAATGATGCTACGTAGATACACATTTAACTTTGCCAATAACTGACACCAGCCATGACACACTTATCCTTGAAATTACAATTTCCTTTTAAGTTTTTTTGTGTGTTTTATTTCCTAGGTAGAGAGTTTGCCTTTATTTCCAGGATTGGTGTTATTTTCATTTCTTTTGTTTTTATTTACTGCAGTCCTTAGGCAAGTCTTATTTATTTTTTGAGAAGTGAGTCTACAAATGAAAAGAACAGATTTTAGCTTGGTCAAATGTGAGAGATGAAGACGACTGGAAAATGATTGTTTTCTGGTGAGAGTGAAAAGGGAACTCAGGCAGCCCATTGAAATAGCTTCAGTTTTTTCACATGACTCTATCAGTAAGTGATTGAAGATAGAATGAAATGGCTTCATGGGAAGACTTTAGGATTTATATATTAGAATATACTAATCTGTGGTTCGGAAAGATAAAATTATTCTGAATGTTGTTTTGCCTTTTTTACTGAATACATAAAGAAAAACTTCTGGAATGGTGGTAAAATATATCTTAGAAAGAATATACTCTTCAGAGTGAACATGAAGAGTTACAGTCTACAATAATTTTATACAAGAAAGAAAACAGGCACTGTTTTTTTCCTCCCTGGGCTTGCTGAAGAAAATGTGAAACATTGATTGAGAGCTACTTGTTAATTCACACTAGGGAACCATGGTGATTACTTAATTTTGAAAATTACAATGTAAACACAACCAATGCCATAAAGGAGTTCAAGAGCCCTACATCAAAAATAATATTTTGTTCATTTATTTTGACAAGTGTGGTTCATATACTCAAGTGTTACTTATGGTTATATTACATTTGAATTAACATAGTGCATTTCATCAAAATAATAAAACTTATGATATAATAACTTAAAGAGAAAGTTCATCACATTCTTCTGATAGATATTTTAAACGATATGTATTTATGAGTGTATTATGTTACCCCATCTCTCCCTCTACCTCTTACACACTCTCTTAAACACTCGGCAAATTAAAAGTAAATTTATCAATTTTACCATCCTCCTGTCCTTTCATAAGCTTATAGAATATGATTATTGTTAAAAAGTTATTATTTGTTTGATAATTCATACATTTCTGTTTTCTCAGTCTGCCTTCCTCAGCAGTATCTGATATCATATTGTTACTGACTGATTATTAAATAAATTTAAATGAATTAAAACCATAAGTCTTGGAAGTTATATAGTCTGTATCAAACAAGAAATAAGGAATGGGAAATTTGACATATGGATATTGAGGAAGACAGGAGGTTTCATCCTTTCATTCTTTCGCTAAAATTGATTAATTTTATGTAGGTTCAAACTTTCTTATTTATTTTGTAAACCTGTAGAGAAACTATAGAAGTAACATGTTATTGTTATTTTCTAAATTATTGTTATTTAATCTTTACCGTAGTTACCAAATTTCTAAACTAAACAATGTAAAAACTAGCAGAAAAAATGGAAACAATTACAAATGACCTAAACCAATTATAAATTACTTATATCTACTTAGAGAGCAATATAGATTTATGCATATTTAGTTATGGTCTGACATATGGAATTTATTTTAATGAGAGATTTCTAAAATAAATTATATCAGTAATATAGTTCTTTTTATGAATTTAATTTGTACTCCAAATGACCTAAAGTTTACCAATCTTTAAAATAGTTTACTTTTGTCTATTACCTGAGAAATAATGTAACTGTCCCACAAATTAAAATTGAACTGCAACTAAACTATTACTCTTAAGAATATTTAGTACATGATTTTTTGTGGAACATGCTGATATTAAAATTTTTGATGAATTTATTGTGTCTAAGTGAATTACTAATCCATTTAGTTGCCTTTGCCTTGAAGTTTGAAGACAGTAAAATTGACACAAGCTTTATATATTTGAGTTCTTTTTTGATTCCTTACTTTACTTATAGATTTCTGTCTTCCATATTGCCTTCATAAATTGCCACAAAGTTTTTTTCTAACAATTTAAATAGTATATGAGGTAAGAACAAGAATAATTAAGATATAATTTAGTTATTAATGTTTTCAAGTAATATCATTGTCTTGTTATAAATTTTACCATAGTTTAGTTCAGAATGATAAATTTTTAGACATTTATGAAAATCACCTTTTTAATTGTTCAAGTTTTACTGTAATGTAAAGAGTGAATGGAATTGGAATAGGAGGCACAATTTGACTAGGACTGTATAAAAGAAAGGAAAAAGGAAATTAAAAGTATTTTGATATGGTGGGAATTTCATTGTGTATGTGTATAAATGTACATATATAAAAGCATATTTTATAGTTAGTGTTGACAACACTGCCTTAAAAAGGAGGTATGATTAATTTCATTTTATAGGACAGAAAACAGACACAAATACAAAGAATTTATAGTTTGCTCAAGTCCTTGGTACACTATGGACAGCCAATAATGGTACTCACCATAAGAAACCTCTCTATAAGATGTTAATAATACTAGAAGGAAGTAGAAAAACAGCTCTTCCACACAGAAACTTTTTTCCAGTGCCAAGTGACCTAGAGAAGAATAAAGATGAATTTCACTAAAACTGATTTTGTTAATATTTGGGGATTTCAAATCAATTAATTAGGGAGAAAATACTTTTTTTTTTCCAGAATTGATGATTTTTAAATAAAGCATATTAGATATAAACATAGACAAATGTTATTTACCCAGAACTCTTAATTAGCCACTGGCTTTTTCTAGTACACTCTATACATGAATGTGTGTATGATATACATGATAGACTATTAGTAAGCTATATTCTCCAAATACTACTAGTATTTTTCTTTTATGGAAATTAATGTATTATGTTTTCTATCTTAAGGAGTTTCTTTTTCTGAAGGAAAGGGTGTTTGGACTGGAGGTTAAATTGGTGTAGTCACAGTTTGGGGTTCCAACAAGGGTAGGAACTGGCCATAAGACATGAAGAGCAGAAGCAAATAGCTATGAATAAAGCCTAGAAACTTCTGAGGACTAAGGGGATATGGATAGAGGGTCAGTTGTACTGCTTCAGCTTCAAAATATACTAACATTTTTTGAAAGTTTCCCTCTTCTTTCATGCATTAAGAAGAACTATATCTAATATATCAAACCAGTATATCCAAGCAAGACCATCAACTCTCCAATAGAATTTTAAATTTAAAAATAATTAAGTATCACAATAGCTTATATTTACTAAAATTTAAACAAAAAGTTTCCCCCCCTTAAAATGCTAATAGAAGTTACCAAGCAATTTTCCTTTATTATCATCATGGTAAGATCACTAAAGAAGTTCAATTCTAAGAAATATGATTAGGCAAACTTCTTCTATCTGCAAAAGCTCCATCATAAATAGAATACATATTGATTCAATTGACATATTGACTATACTGTGCAATATTGTCTGTTTCAGATAAATTCATGAAGACATGAATTGAGCCCATAAAGCTATATTATAGCATCTACCATAAACTGCAAATTTATTGTACTTAGTATATATTGTATGTTTACTTCATTTTTATTAGTAATTTAAAATAAGCACATATATTTATGTATAAATTATTATTAACAGTATTTAAGGAAAGCATCCTCTACATGACAAAAAATGAAAATATCTTTATTTTATACAACTACTTATGAAATCTTTTATGTCTAACATATAAAGGATGACCTAGAATATCTCTAAGATCCCTCCCCAAAATTCTATACTTCTAAAGAAAGAGAAGCAGATTTCATTCATTATCAGCCCACCTCTGCTCTATTAAGAAGCAAATGAGTAGACACTTCTGGGTTACTTTATCCATAACAAATGCATGGATATTGCTAGTTTCTCCCAGAGAGTCACAGAGCTGGGAGATGGCTCTGAAAAGAAAAGTGCTAGTCCCTGGGGATTGGAATCTTTGTACCTGTCAGAAAGTTAAATGTGTCTCAGCTGAAGGCAGCTGTTCACTTAAACTTTCAAAAACGAAAATCCTTTTGATGGATTTTAAAAAATCATACACACACACACACACTGCAAAATGTCAAGGGTGTGTGCAAATCAAGGACACATACACGGCTTACTTTAGCATAAATGGAGAAATAGTTGTGAGAGGAAATCAGATTTCCTACCAGCATTGGCCTGTTATTTCCATCGGTCAGCTCACTGGCCACGATGGTCTGACCAAACTAAGTATTTTCACATGAGTTTTGACTGAGGCCCATAGCGTTACCATGGGAAACAGGAACGGTTTGAACAGAGAGGGACTTACGGATAAGTAGAGGAAGCAGCAGAGTCTTCCAGGACATTACTGATTTTATTTTTTGACATTGATGATTTTAATATACAACAGGGTGAAGGATATGGAGTATATATTTAAATCCTATCATGGCTGGAAGAGTCCAGCAAGAGTTAAAGAATCACCCAGGGCTAGTTTCTGCTGTATTATGAGTAACTTAATTCACCTCTGTCGGTGTGGTAAAATAGGGCTGGTGCAAGTTTCACTTGTCCTTTGGAGAAGATATAAAAACACATTATCTTTGTAGTTTCTTGTAACAATGTGGTTTATCACTTAGTTTGCAGAATTGAAGGGCAGGAGTGTAGTTAGTTGCAGCCTCTGAGAAAAAAGAAACTTCAATGAGACACTGACTATTCTAAAATTCCAAGTTAATGCAATGTTTTTGGTTGTCCAGGGTGGCCCTATTGCCAGAAAGGGGCACTAAATGTTAAAACATACCCTCCACCAAAGGACCACCGACTCTGCCACATGTATTTGTGGGGGTGGCGTTCTGGCACGATCTGCTATGCAGACCCACTGTAGGGTGATACATGCATTGAATGAAGAGTCATCACATTGGAGTTCCACTTTGCTGTACATCTGCAATTGAGGCCATGAGGTCTAGGTCAGCAAGTGCATTGCTGCAGTTCTGAGATGAACAGTAAATTAATCCTTCAGTGCTCAAAATTTCTTCATTTGTTAAAGGTTTTTTTCCTTTAAGGTAGGTGTGAACAATTGATGATATATATTAAGTGACTAACACAGTGCCTGGCATCTATGTGCTCATGAAATAGTTGCCAGTATAAATATTGCTTATTATTAGATGTCTTAGAGAGGCAGTGTCTTGGGATGAAAAATACTTGCAATTTAGGACCAGAAGTGTTAGGTACAAGTTCAGACTCTAAGTGAACTTAACTTTCACATCACAGCCAATGTTTCCAAACATTCATACATTGTTAATGATTTTACTCTTTCAAATATTTGATAATTATATGCTGTGCCCCCAAAATAAAATAACAAGGTCTTTATGTTTCTTGAGTAACAACCCCAAATTTTGATTACTGTAGACCTTCAACCCATGTAGTAGATTTTGACTACTTATCTAAGAGGTAAGACAACTGAAGATGCCTTTTACTTCTCTTCATATATAGTATGCATCTATATTCATTCTCCCTAACTTCAGCAACCCCTCTTGCTTGATTACCTCTCCAGTGCCCTACTTCTCTATCCCCTTTCAGCTGTCTACTCCCTTATTTATATCATAAATTATATACTACCATCAAAACTTCAGCACAATTTAAATCTAGATCTTAGAAATCCTACGATTTCAAAACTGGGCATCACCTCTGATTGCCTCTACACTTCAACCTTACCTAGAGGCATTTAATCCATCAAATCACAGTGCTGTTTTGTCAGAAATCCATCCTTCATCCATCTTCTTCCTTCTTTCTCTCCTTGCATCACCTTTGGCTAAGCCATCATCAATCACTTAGAAACTATTAAACTTGTAACTACAGCTTAACAAACTAGTAACAATCCTAATAAAAATACTAGCACAGTTAAACATACATGCTAAATTTTCTATTACAGACAGATTAGAGTAAATGTAAGATTTACTGACATTAAATAAGGAATGCAACTTAAAAGAAAACATAAATAAAGCTTAAAGCATCATGGCTTCTCAGGCCGGCAACAAGAACACACTGCTAAGAAGCTCCCAGTGCCAATGAAAAATGCTTATTTGGTGATAATAGTCTACAGTTATTCCTGACTTTATAAGCATTTAAATAAAATATTATAGAGTCATAATACAAATCAAAGTTTATATATAAATATACTAAACCAATTCCTCTTCCTATATCATATAAATCTCTGTATTTAATTGTTAAAGGGCCAGGCAGAGGTGAGACTGAAATATAAGCAAAATGAAGATTTGGATACTTTGGATGAGGTTTGTTCAGTGGATGAGTAGTTCAAAAATGAATATAAAGCAATGGAAAATGTTCCATAGATTATATAAGCCTTCGATGCAAGCACTGAAAAAAAGGGACTGGAGATGATGGTTTAAAAATTGACTCAATTATCCAGTGATTTGATTGCCTTGAAATAAAAATCAGAGGGATGGATAAAGGAATACAGCCATTGGAGGAATCCAATTTGGTGTTTAAACGGGGCCTGAAAACCTCTGAGCAGCAGAGTGCAGTTATAATTAGGGATAATGTTTCACTTCTCAAAAATGAGTCATTGCAAAGGCAGTGAAAAAATGCCATTATTTCTGCTTGGTCCTCTCGTCAATGCTGGACTAGAACCCTAAGAAAAGGTTAGGAGTATTTTAACTTGTCTTTTTAAAATTCAATTTATATATTTTTCAACCATTCATTCATGCAGTATACAAATAATTAAATAGTACTTTCTTGGTTAGGAGTGTAACTGCAATATAAAAGCACAAATGAAAGTCCAAAACTGAAACTATGGTCCATATAAGAAGTGATAGGAGGCCATTAGAAACAGAACTTTGCAAACATATTCTACAAATGTATTTTTAATGGAAAAAAAAGGATTTTACATAAAAGATGCATATATATATGGCTGAAAATATTTAATATTAAAACACACATTTTGACTTAATTCTTACATGAATTTTTTTTATAGAAGTTCATTCTTTTTACAAACAGGTATCTAGTTGTTCCAGCACCACATTTAAAAAGACTATCCTTTTGTTAGTGTGCTCACTGAGAGGTATCCCAGCACCCCCAAACTTGTGTGCTCTAAATGGGTTCAGCCACCCACTGCATAAAAACAAAGCATGCATTTTGTGTGAAAGAGCTTTAATAGGATTAGTGTACATAGAAGGAAAAGAGAAGATAATAGTTTCCCAATGAAACCCCCAAAATTACCTATTCTCTCAAGGGTAAATGCCAAGAGAAACAGAGTTTGTCCAAAGCAGAACCTCTGAGGCCTGAAAACTTGCCACAAGTCTAAAGCTCCTTCTGGCAGGGCACCATAGGGCAAAAGGGGCCAGGTAAGTCTGGGACAAAAGGAGTAAAATCAAAGTACAAATCAAGTTAATATTTACCACTACTCCCCAAGGATCTTTCACCTATGTCTTTTCCAAGTGTCTCTACATATCTTGACTCTTTCCATGCCCCCCAAGTTCCTGGTGCAAGTCCCAAACCAAGAAATAATTGTACCCTTTTCCTCACATGTCTCTGTTCCCTGCGCCTTCTCTAAGTCCTCTTCCAAATGTTCTTCTAACTAAGAAAGTCACAAGGAAAAGTTCAGTCTCTGGAACTGTTACCTCTTTTACTTGAAATTGCAAGAAGATGTGTTTATTTTATTTATTTATTTATTTATTTATTTTTTTGAGCATAGCAGAAAGCTATGGCTTTGTTTATTAAAGGTTTTTTTTTTTTTTAGTTTTTAAATCTCATTTTTTTAATAATAAATTTTATTTTTATATTCCCCATACAATTGCAACCCCCCCATTCTGACCCCAATCCCGCCCCCCACCCTCCAAAACGTGTCTCTGGTTCATAGTTTTTTGTTTAAGAAGGTGTGTTTAATGAAATCAAAAGGGCTAAGAATCTAGATAGGATTGACTTGGGAAAAGCTGTGATATTTGAGGAAGTCCTGATGTAAATACCCAATCTTATTTCTCCTCATCCCTCTGTGTCTCCTTGAGTTCCCCTAGGGCTGAACCCAACTAGACATGGAAGAGTAGCAGGAAATATCAACTACTGGGATGATCATGATCATAGGTGTTTGTTTGTTTATGTAGCTTTATTGAAGAAATGTAAATCAATTACCTGCAGAGATATTAGCTGATCATTCATCCATTGACAACTTAAAATATTATTTATTTAGTGTTATGTTGAACAATATTGGAAGATAAACTAACAACTGTGAGCCTTCTAGCAATTTAAAAGAAAATTGCAATGTGTTTGTGATGCTATTTTGAATACAAAGGGTGTTTGACTTCTGATTTCTATTCTAATTTGTGGGGTTTTTCCACTGTTATTATTTTATAAGATACATTGCAATTTAAATTTTGACCCAGGTATTGATACAGATGTTTTTATTTTATTTATTTCTATCATCAAGTTATTAAAAGTCTTTTTATTTTAAAAGCTCCTTGTGCTTTTTTCTGGCATAAGTGAACAAATGTTTTTAGCAAATGTTTAAACCTAATTTTATGATCCCCAAAGTTAAATGTTTTCAATCCTATATAGTAAAGCAATAAAATTATTACTGTATGAATTTAAAATATATTCAGAATTCTTAAGTCTTTTTAAATTTGGATTGGTTATTTGTTTACCAATGATTTCATTTCAGATAGACTGGTTTAATGAATTTATATATTTAATATATATAACACACAAATATGTGTGTTTGTCTGATTGATTCTAAGACAAGCATTTTTTAAACATTTCAACCTTTCTGAAATTGTGAAGTATAGCATAACTGGTAATTTTTTTTCATAATGATGAATAAACTGATGGTATATCTTTCCAAAATGGCACTGTAGTTATATTGAAATATGATTTTAACATAAAAAAACATGTATAAGCTTTTATGCATATGTTAACATTTAGTTTACTGCTTAAGTTAAAATCATATATTATTTATTATCTTTCCTACCCCTATCATTGAGGATTGTTTTACTGAGGACTTTCACTATGTGGAATGATACTTTGAGGATATAATTTAATCAAACCCTTTCTGAATTCTTGAAATAACTTACAAGATAGCATGTCATGCCAGAAAGAACACTCTACTGGGAGTGAGGATGCACTATTAGTGTAATTTTGGATAGTTAGTTTCTTAACACTATTTTTAAGTTATAGATTGCGAGGTTAGAGTGCATAATTAGATTATCCTGTGGGTCTATGAAATTTAATACTATATGAACCCATTGGTTCTATAAAGCATAGATTAATTTCATTGTTGCCATTAACAGAATAGATTGTATACATCACAAAAATGAGTTTCACTTTTTCTTTTGCACTTGCATTTTAGGCCCTCTCATAACAAAGGTTTAGAAATTAAGTGAATGCCAGTTTAAAAGACCTATGTGAAAAAAGGTGGAAAACCTTTTCTGTGAGTTCAGAGATTCTCTAATCTGAAAACAGAGAGGAACTTCTTCCAAACCACTATCAGCACATTCCACGTGGAGTCAAATTTGTATGAATATGGGCACTCAACCCACTCTTTGATCAGTGTTAGAAGTATGACATGTTTGGCTTATCTCACTTTAAACCTATTTTTTCCCTCCATAGATCAGAAGTATCAGCATACAAACTTCTTACTCATGGCAATTGAACAAAGTTTAGTGTCTTAAG